CAGGCAAATTACAGTAATATTTTTAGAAAATTTTTTTGAAAAAATTTCGTAGGCATAGGGCCTACGCCTAGCTAGGTATACAGTAATTTCATTTTACAGTAGTTTGGAACGATATCAGGAGTGGGGGTGCTGGCAGTGGCCTACTAGGACTACAATTTATTTGAAGCTATCTTGGGCCCAATCGTCTGTCACCCGAAGGTTTCATTACGATTATCAAGAACGTACACAATTTACTACTAGAGCATAACAAAGAAAGCGACCAACGTGGTGCATTCTTAAATATTACACACATTATTTAATTGTATTAGACGACAACACGATAACACGATATCATTGATTGAACGATCTAACTACCCTCGCATCGCAGTAACTGAACTAGGCCTAGCTTATTGCAATTTCTGAGTTTTATTTCAGAGTTCAGACAATAAAAGAATCTTGAATCTTGAATCTTGAATGTTTTTGTGGAAAGCTAGATAGTCGTTATGTACCCAACAGTCGGCTGCCTTTATATTTTCACCTGTTTTCAGTTTGCATTCAAAAGGTACATTGCTGCACAGCCAACTGTCGGGGATATAGTACCTTCATATGACTACTCATACATATACAACAGAAAAAAACGTCGCATGGACTTAGTGAAAAATGGAGATCTAAATAAAAAAATGATGTATTTCAGCAAGTATTAAAACATTTTAGTTTTATTTTAGGCCTTCTTCAAAATACCTATGCCTACAGCAGTTGATTTTTTTTTTGCCGTAAAACCAAAATAGTTTCATCAGGGAGTTGTTATTCATCCATGCCGACTTTCCGGTCGGTTAGCGTGAGTCCTGACTGAACTCTGCAGAAACTTCACATCGATCTTCCCATCGCGATGTAAAACAAAATGTCGGAAAACTTTTTTTTGACGCATGTGCATTTGCATAAATGTCTACACACACACACACTACACACAATAAAAAACAAAAGAAATGTGACTAAGAGTGATTACAATAGTTCCTATTGCATTACATGCATACGAACTAAAAATGTATTCTTATGTGGTGGTGGGCGTGGTAACTTGCCAAAAATAAAATTTTATTTTCAGTTGATATCATTATGATTGGCAGGCAGCAGGTTTGCCTAAACAAGGTATAAAAAAAATGCTTGTCTAATGCGATCAGAAAATAAATGCTATCACAAAGAAATGAAAATAATGTATTTAATACAAATGCAATTCAATGTTGAAAGCAACATGTCAAATTTTTGTGTTTTCCATTTATTTAACAATCTGTAAGTCAAATTTTATCTAAGTTGAACAATATTTCAATGGTATTTTGGATTCGACTGAGGCAAGTTTAACTGTACTAAAAATAATTCTCACCTTCAGAAAGTGGGACCAAGTGGACGATGGAAGATTTCTTGGCTTTGCGTTTGCGGCTGCCTGTGATTTCCGGTTCAGCTTTCCTTGATTTTATCATGGCTACTGAAGAAATATGTTAAAACAAATAAAACAGAGTCCAACCAAGCATAGTATTGTATTGTCATGTTTAATTCATGTCTGCCATCTTCTGTGAGAATTTACAATGGGTTTTAATAACAATAATTGTTTTAGGTTCTAGAATTCAATTTGTGGTGGGGTACTGTATGCAGGTCATTAGGACCTAGTGGAGTAAGGACTAGGCCCAATAGGTTAGGGGTACGTAGGTCATTAGGACCTTCATCACTACCACAGAATGCATAGTTTGGTTAGAATAGGGATATGCGAGTCATTAGGATCTTAGTGGAGTAGCATCACTATCACTTGATGCAGAGTTTGGTTGGATCCTTTGTTTATGTTGTGAAAACAACACATGTTGCAATGAATTTGAAATAAAATGAAAAATTTCCTTTATAGACGAAATTGAGTATAACATATCGTATTGTAAAAATATCTGTAGTTTGTCAAATGTAAAACAAAAATATATATTACAATAAAAAGAAGGAAAGACATGAGATACAATTCTAATTAAAAACCTTTTGAGACCAAGGTTTTTTTTTGCAGCTTTGTTCTTTGAAAAAAAAAAATATCAAAAAATAACATTTGGGCTCGGAAAGGTGGTCTATAATTGGAGGTGATCTTTTATTAAAGAGGTCTTTAATTAGAGGGAGACCTGTATTTTGAAATCAAGAAGATATATTTATATAAATTTGGACTAGGTTAGATGGGATTCATTATTAGATAACCTACAGGCAATGGACTGGGAGACTATCTCCTGCTCATTTCTGAAGAGTATACTGCGTACTTTAACGTGCCGTGGGCAATATTGCACACGGCACTAATGCCTAAAACATCTCTTCAGAAATATAGGGCACATTTTATACTTGCATTTCACCCCTCAATCTGAAACACTAGAAGAGCTGTGTATCGATTGAACTTGGTACAAAGCCTAAAAAATGGATGTCATCGTTTAGTGCACACACATTGGCTACCACCAGTTCAGCTGACTGAGCTATTCTGCTTCCTTGTCTCTTTAATTTTATATCCATGTTCAGAGATATTGAAAAAAAATTACCATTTCCCTTTGCTTTGGCTCGATCTTTAGCTTCCTTTCTTAAAAACATGGCATTCTTGTACATTTTGGCACTTTTCTTTGAACGTTGGGCTTTGGTTTTGGGTCGGAACTGATCCATGGTCAGCTGGGGCAGAGCTGCTAGTTTCGCTTCTATGTTGATCTCTCCGTAATCACTACATAAGATTCATTTTTGGGTAAAAGAATCATAAATAAAATAAATATAATGTTTACATCTGCCAAAAAGGTTACAGTATGTATTCACTACTATCTGTCTGTCTGTCTGTTAGCAAGATTACGCAAAAACTAATGAAAGTATCATTATAAAATTTAGTGGAATGGTACATAAACATTTTTTGGAAAAGGTCAAAGGACACGGTCGGGAAATTCAATTTTTTACGCCTGAGTATAAAAACAAAAAAAAATGGAATCGCTCTACGTATTCAGACAGCACTTAAAAAAAACAATGTGCCTGAATACGACTGGCAATTCCATTATTTCATGGAAGGTATGCTGCAGTTTTCGCCCACATCATACGCAGCCTGTGTATTGTTGGTATTGTCTGCACATTGCAGAGTATACACTCAATGGATCGACTGCTCTAGTAATAAATTAATGGTGAACTCACATATTACATGAGCCAGACCCACTGACAGTTCTCCTGCGGGGTCGTTTCCTACTTGTCTTTTTCCATTTCTCAACCTCTTGCTCAAAGATCATGTCCTCCTCATCTGTGAACGTCGTATTTTCATGGCGCCAAGTCTTCTTACAGTTGAACGGTCGTTCTTGACGTTGCAATGTCTCCAGCATTCCTTCCATAACAAACTCTCGGTAAAGCCTTCCTTTGCAAGATCGTGACGACTTCCGCCGTCTTGGGATGCCGTTTCCGTCTTCTGACATTCTATCGGTGTCTGATTCCACCTTTATGTCATCACTGTCTATATCTTGTGATTCTGTTTCTTCCAGACTGTTCAGTCCATTTACTTCATCATTATCATGACCATCACGGGTATCTATTGCATCGTGTTCACTCGTTTTGCTTTCAATATTTTCAGTCTCTTTATCCCTGGTTTTTGATTTCTTCTTTTTCTTCCCTTTACTTTTAATCTTTGATCCTTTCTTTTTAATATCGTCATCTCTTGAGTTTGAATGTTTCGAAACATCCTTATTCATATTGTCCTTTTTATCTAAACTTGTATTACTTTGAATTTCAGATTTCCTTCTCTTCTTCTTTGATGATGTCTCCATGTTAGATTCATCTTTGTTTTGTTCAGATTTTATGGAAGAGTTCAGAAACTTCATTTCTGTTTTGTTCACAGATTCTTCCATTTCCTTCTTCTTCAACATGACGGACATTGGCAAACGATCGGAACACATCTACAGGAGACAGATGAGTATTAAAAGACAATCTCATAAAGTAATAAAAAATATTTAAAAAAGTAAATAATACACTTATTTAGTTTAGTGTATTTGTAGGGAAAAGTTTCGGCAAAAATTTTATCACACAGTACAGTTTTGTGATAAACTTCTGAGCAATATACTATATATGAATATCACTTAATAGCTAATGGTATGTTAAACATGTTCTCTGCCAGCGACGAGTAAACTCTTCCCATAGGGTGTTGCTGAAGGTGCTATACAGTACTCTTTAAAATCGAGGTAACATTCTAGCGTTTATTACTTCATTGTTATACACTGTAGAATCACAGACTTAATGGGTGACAGTTCAGCAAAGATACACCTTGACGATAACATACAAATAATATACATATGAGGCATGTTGTGGCGAAATGGTTAAGTTGTCGCACAGGCCAGTATTGAGTAAATGAGCTATAAAATATGGAAGCTCAAAAAATTGCCTAAAAATCAAAATTTGTTTTTCACTATAACTCAACAGTTTATTGTCTTATTATTCATGTACCAAAGTATTAGTTCTGGAAGTGGTCAACAAATTGTTTATTTAATGTTATTTTGATAGTTCATTCTATTAAACAATGTATGCACAAATAACTTTGAAAGGCAATTACTCAAAATCATGTTTATCTTGATTCTAAGAGTACTGTACTTTCACTTTCCAATAACTTAGGCTTGAAATATCCAATTTCAATGAATGACCCCTCATTTTAAAGATCACATACTCAGGTATCTGAAAATACTAATAACTTGAATTTTAATTTTTGCTACAACTTAGCCATTTTGCCACAACATGCCTCATATGTTCGTTGTGTTATGTTGCCGGCAGTCAAAGATCTTATAATTACAAGATAGCGTTTTCTACAATTCTGTAATAATGCAGTATATGGCGCCCTCTTGCAGATACTTTTCAACTTTGAAATTAGAAATGGTTAACTAAATATAGTGGATCTGCATGCAAATTATATAACAGCCATGGTAACAACTAGGACGCCCTCTCTCAAAAGTGATTACTTTTTAGGTTTCTTTTTACTGAACATCGACACTACTACTTGTTATGCATACTGTAGAATCGCAGAGAGCGCTACCTTGTGTTTATAAGATCTCTGTCGGCAGTACAAAAGATTGCACAAGGGTGCCCTCTGAAAATATACCAACTCATGCATAAAAGCGGACGAGAAAACTTGTACTTGGCAATAGAAAGTACTATCCCATTGCCAGCGACGAGCTTACTTGTCCCCTAATATTTTTCCGCCAATTAATTTTTTTTCTCATTATGATGATATGTGACTTGATAACATTTCAAGAAAGTATGGTTGTACATGAATACAATTGTTTTGGCACACAGGACAAAACCTAAAAAAAGGGTCTGGCAGTCAACGTGTAAAATCATAGCCCTGTTTGGACCACTTTCACAAAAATTTCAACGTTCATGATTCATTTACTATATTGTTACACAAGAGTATAGAAAATGACAAATCTCAACACAATTAAAGGCTAACTATAACACTTATTGCTCTAGCTTTCGTCAACACAGTGAACTTCATCGGGGCAGATAAAACGGTCTTAGCTGGTAGTCTTAACTCCTCGAATAAAGCCGGCTTTAGCAATTAGATGGCAAAGTCACTCCGCTAAGACCATTACTCTAAAACAGTCTTCATGTTAGCGTTTCACTTAACCCGCTATACTCATAGCGGGTTAAGTGAAACGCTAACAAGCACTCCCTGCTTACTTGATTCATGATACACAATGCACATGTATCAAAATGATCGTAAATAAACGAAGACCGGTTTTTAAAGACGTTGAGAAGTTTATGGAATATTCACGGTTCGATTCTTGGATTTTGACCATCTACTGTAGGCATAGGTCTAGTACCTGTAACGCCATGATGAAAATGATTTAAAAACCATTTCAAGCTTCCTCTGAGTACTGTAGGCTAACTGGTTAGACCGGGGTATAGCGATGGTCTATAATCATAGACCAATAGTGACTACACTATGATAGCCAGCTAAGCGTTAAGATCGTCTAAAGACCACTTATAGCAATCCGCCCCAGGAGTGATGGAAGTAGCTATAGTGTAGCTATGTTGCACCAAAATCTGTCACTCAATATCATTATCATCATCATCAAATAATTATTATAAAATTGCAATAACTGTTACCTCGGCTAATTGAAACAGGGAAGAGGTTGGACTAACAGGGTCTTCTTGATCCTCTGTTTCTTGATTAGCATTTGTTGATATGGATGCACTGTCTGGTTTAACCATAGTTTGTCCGGCTAGTAGCAGCATACTCAAACCGCCCATGCTCTCAGGATCTAAAAATTAAATCAGTTTGTAACGATAGCAACATCATAAAACAGAAAGTAGTGTTTGGCTCATCATACCATTTTGTGGAGTGGTAGATACTAGGAAACTTTTGATTACACGACAATGGTAAGACCTAGAATGAAATCATCTGTGCAAAAGAGAACGTAGAGTTCTAATTGTCGCCTGATTCTAGGATGCATTTTGACCCGAATATACATTGTACAAAGATTGTAGGACTGTCACGGATGAGGGAATCCGCTCTAGCGTTGTGTCGTCGCACAAATCAAAAGCTCCCTATTGGTTTAAGTTGTGAGTAATTTTGGGGTTCAAAGGTCAAATGGAAGTCAGGACAGAGGAATGCACTCTATCAAGTATTTATTTTAGCTGGTTTTGTTGTCATTGTTGCTGCCGTTCAGTTCAGGCTCCAGAAAATTGCCGACAGGGCGTGCCAATTAAGGGGCCACTAACTGTAGCACCTGGGTCAGGGTCTCCGAATAAAATCCCTAGCGAGTTTCAAGCTCTGAGATTTAGGATGGGCAAAAATTGTGTTTAAACCACAATACTAGAGATTGCAAAGCAAAATATCTTTTTTTGGATCGACAAATCAATACTTTAGTCCAATGACCATGTTGTGGCATCGGATGACAGGGATCCATGCTTTTCCAACACAAGGGAAATTCACCCCTGACCCTCCCACTGTTGCCAACACTGCTGCCATAAATATTATTACAAGCCTCCCTCCAATTAAGATCACTGTTGGGACCAGGCTTTTCCTGGTCTTTAGCAGCATCAGTTCTTTAATTAGAAAAATTTATTGTATATATATATTTTTTTACTGACCACAAAGAGTCCCAACATAAAAATCAATAGATAAATAAATACGTTTTACATTCAGAAAATTTCGCTTGTCTTTGTAACAATATGAGAAATCAATTTTTGTGGAAGAATAGCTCCAAACAAGGAACATTACGATTAAAATGATAAAAGATAAGCATTCACTTGGGACTGAAGGAAAGGTGGAGGTTAATTGGAGGTGGTATATAATTAGAGGGGTCATTTATTAGGGGTCATGTACACCTATTTTATTATTTGTATTTGTTGACAGTGTTTTTTTTTTTTCCAGGAGTTAAAAATTTCTGACTAACCTGCCAGCTTGCCAACAGTAATGCCTTCCTTGGCTATCATGCTCAGGTTTAGCTTTGACACGTCCTGCATTGGAAACGCTTTCCTTGAAGCACCGGAACACGCCCCGGGACTTGACTTGTGACGACTAGTACCACACCACTTGTAATCAGGATGGGCTTTCATGAAAGCTGCTTTACACTGGAAACAAACATTATATTGTTGATGAATTTTATTAAAACTTTAAGTATCTTAAAAAAACACAAAGGGAGCAGTGGTGAAATTAAAGGATTAAACCAGTGGCGTATCAAGAGGGTATGCACACTCACCCCCTTCCCCTAAAAAGCTTCAACCCCTGGTCGTCTCAAGCCCACCCCCAATGAAAAATTTTTTGAAGCAAACAAATCATGCTCAAGTAGAACAATCACCACATATCAACTTATTTTGCATGCTAGCATCCCCTCACCTAATCATCGAGTACCCACCTGGCCGTCCCGAGGCAAAAACTACGTAACTGACGTTTTGGTCGATTTGGAGATAATATCATTTGGGAGTATATTAAACATGTCTGAATTACCTGTGAAAATTTCAGGTCTCAATAATGAGTCGTTTCGGAGATAGCACCACCTATCTTTAAGCACAAAACTTAATATCTAGTGGCTTTCCGTGGCAAAACAACTCAACTACAAGATACGTTGTTTTGCCTCGGAATGGAGTTTCACAAGGCAAAATCAAATGGTTATTGTGTTTTTATATCAATATTCTTAATAACGACGTACGAACAAGCTAGGAAATGTAAATGATTGTCCCAAACGTGCTAAATTCTAAAAATATATCTTACTTGCAAAAATACCGAGCCTGACATGTTTCCGAGACAAAAAAATGCATCTGTAATTCTCGCTAATAACTTTGCAATAAACAAACGGTTGTAATTAAAATTTTACATATAATCACAATGTCTACAAATAAAAATTCCTTCAAATTTTCAATCAGGTACGACAATTTATTGTAAAGTTCCGAACATGCAAACTTTAACTGGTTGTTTTATCACGGAACGGCCGTGCCTCATTTACGCACTCTCCCACCATCATTCAGCACCTCATTTCAAGACTCCTAAATATGCCACTGCCGGGCACACACTGGCTGAGTCGGCTGATTCTATAGAGAACGTAGTGTGACAAGGCGTGCACAGCAGATCGTTACCAATGACAATCAGCTTAGACTGTCAAAAATATCAGCAGATGGCGTCGTGTCATCCAAGTACTAACGCAAAGTGGAGGTGGACTTGTCGGCTGACTTTCAGCTAATGCAATGTGTACCAGGCTTAAAGTTCCATCATGCACATGTGGAAACTTTTAGTTTGCCTAACTGAGCTATGCTGCCCTCTATGCTGCCCTCTCTAATGCCCTGCTTACCTCTCTAGCTAACTGTAGGTATCTATTCTTTTCATCAGGATCTAACACAGCCCACATGTCGGCCAGCATCTTGGTGCATGACCGGTTGTCCAGCCATGGATGTTTCTGCTTGACAATGCCGCGATGCCTTTTGCAGAATAACAGAAACGCATTCATCGGACGTCGGAGTTGTTGGTCGTCTGTCAGATCTGCCTCATTTTGAACCTGCAGATTTACAAGATCAATATCGTTTTCATCGATGGGTGTCGTTGGTATTGACATTGACATGGAGTCCTCTTCTGATATATCCACTTCAGTTTTCTGAGGTTAAAAAATTACCAGGAAATCAAATTACAAAATCAAAGTAAAGAACATAAAAAAGTTTACATTTATTATTTTAAATGGTAGAATATTCCAAATAATATAGTATGCAAAGACCAAGTGGGTGTTTTGCCCCCTAAAATTATGATGCAAGAACATACAGTGGTGGTACCAAAGATTCCCTGATGACGATTCAAAGATCCACAAGAAGTAGTCCACGCCCACACACTTCAGCTCCACTATAATGGTTGGGCCTAATTTCACGAACATTTACTGTAGATGCCCGGAAATGGCACTTTCAGACTGTTAAAAAGCATTTTGAAAATAGTGTTCTCATATAAATGATAGCTTCATCCCTAATGGGGTCCTGTTCTCCAGGCCTCTGTTGGCACCGCCACTAAAGTAATGGGATATTACACATACAAGATCAATCAAATTAGTCTTCCAGGCCAGAACATAAGTCTGCTTTTACACCCCAACCAAGGGACATTGGCAGCTGAGCGTTTGGCTGATTGTATGGCTCCTGCCTCTTGCACGTCAGGGCCCGAGTTTGAGACCCGGCTCTACAGCCGAGTATTGAGTTTGGGTCTTTTTGTAAATGCTCAGCTCCCCAAATAAGCCTTTCAGGAGAGTTAGGTCAGTTAAAGACCACGTGTAGGCCTATCCGTTGTACTGTATGTTGTAGTTTAAGTCGGGTGGCGCTGAAAGATTTATTTATGTTATTAATTTCCCACGGACGGCCATGTTAAAATGCTCCTTCATCTCATAAGCTGTGCCAACATCTACTCTCTTCCCATTAATGCTTACTTAAATGGTGTGACTGTGTTGTAACTGTTTTCCAGATGCACACTATACCTGAAAAGAAGCTGGATCGCTAAACCTCCGCATAAGTTTATGATGAGGAGTAAATTTCGGCATGATTGCAACGATGCAAACAGTCTACAAAGAGAAAAATTTTTATTTAGTTAAGAATTATAAAAATATTAAAGTGCCTTTTGATATGATGAGTCTTTGTAACAAATTCCCAGCTTGCTTTTGTAGAATTAATTTATTTTTAATTATAAAAACATAGACACAGATGACATCTGTTGACCATCAAGAGCTGAGTGGGCACAAAAAACTGGTTGGGGGGGGGGGCTAAACTGGTGGTAGCTAACTAAGTGTGTGCGCTGAACTGTGCAGATCCTTTGGCCCTCGGTTCTATTCCATCCGTTGCTCTCACTGTGTTTCAGCTTGAGGGCTGGAATACAAATTACGGTAGCGCACCGTCTTTCGGACGAGACAGTTAAGATGTTGGTCCTGTGTGCGATATGGCCCATGTGCATGTTAAAGAACACAGCACACTCTTTCGAAAGAGAGGACTGTCTCCCAGTGCACTGTTCAATTCACCACAAAAGGACTCCTCTGGAAAGAAGACTTTGGATTTTTGGGTTATCCATTGATTCCCACCAAAACACTCCTATTCCTATCCTACTGAATCTTTAAATTAACATTGAAGACTGCATGCAAAATCAGATTTTTTAATTGTTACTTTTCCAATTAAAATCTTTTTATCCATTTTGAAACTTTCAGAAAAAGATGTTGTATTACAT